TCATTGTGAATGTTAATGCATTAACTAAGGTTAACTAATGAGGTCTTATTGTAAAGTGATACCTATTGGTCTTTATAGTTCTTTTGCACTTTAATCTGTGTAAAACTTTTAACTTTATACATTTTTCTGTATTGCTTTATTGCATTTAAATGTTCAGTTATTTTTGTTATAAGAAAAAAGTTATTAAACCTGTTATACTGTATTATGAGAGCATAAATTTAAATACTGTGATAATACCGTATACCGTGATAAAAGCATTAGCAATTAATCACAACATTAAAATTTGATACCGGCATATCCCTAGTCTGGATGTTACAGGGACAGATGAGCACACACGTCTGCTTATCCGGTAGAGAGCGGCTAATGAAGCCCTCTTCACCAGAAAGCGGAATGCTGCCATCAAAGGCTTTGTGTGAGTATACTACAGAAATTAATAAAACATCTTTTAAATCTTAAGTTGTAGTTTATTTTAATTATTGTAATTTCAAACAGAGTTATCAGCACTTTTCTGATTCTTGTTTCCTGTGCATTTGCTGCAGAGCTTTTGTGGGGGAGCAGGACCTGCAAGGAAAGGTGACGGCGGCATTTGTGGGAAAAAAGGGAAAACCTGAAACAAAAATATAAATAAGATCATTCTGTTACTTCTAATACAGAAATCAAATGACATTGTGCTGTTAAAATTACTGCTTTTGTATTATATTTGTGCTTCTTTGCAGGATCTGAAATGTCTGCAGACTGGTGTGAGCTGTGAGGATGGAGAAGTCCACAGCAGCATCCTGGAAATGGTCCAGTGCCGCGGATGAGACGCTCCATCACTCCACCTCTTACTGTCTCATCAGGACCAGGTGCTGCTGTGGTCTCTTCATCCTCTGTGACCCCAGAGCCAGCTGGAGCATCTAGAGAAAAACCAAAAGACACTGAAGATGTGAGTTTGGTCAAGTTTGTTCTGCTGGTTTCTGTTCATACAATATCAGTCAATGAAACCTGAGTTTCAGAAGCTTCAAAAGTATCATCAAATAATGTCATGAAGCTTCTGAAAGTCAGGCTCTCATCGACTGATATTGTATGAACAGAAACCAGCAGGACAAACTTAACTAAAATAAACTTTTGTGTTCAGAAAAACAAAACAAAACATGATTGAATTTATGTTTGGATGAACTAACACTTTAAACCCCCCAAATATAAACTGTATGGAATATATGTAAGCATTTATATTATAGTAGTACCTTGAAGAAATAAACTAAGAAATAAGCAGCTTTATTGAGCGTTTGTGCCCAAGACACAAAAAAAGATTTACAAAAATCACATTTACATTAATTGATTTGTCAGACACTTTTATCCGAAGTGACTAACAGTGCTCTTATTACAGGGACCCTAAATCCCTCTGCAGCAACTGGGAGTAAAGAGCCTTGCTGAAGGACACAGCGGTGGTGATGACTGCAGAGATTGAACCAGTAACCTTCTGCTGATCAGTGCAGTGCTTTAGCCCACTACACCACATATAACAAAAATTAACATGTAATTGTAAACATATGAGATGAAATGCTGACAACATCAATTGTAAAATGTTTTACTCTGTTTAAATGTTTTACAGATAGTCGTGCTCATGGAGAGCAGCACACAAATGTTTGGAGCAGACCGAGTGACAGTCAGATTGTCCCGCACATGTTCTCCTGCTTTTATTCAGGGTTGTGTGGATCAGGAGCATCATCATGCTCTTCCTCATCCTCTCTGTGCACTCAGACAATAGCCCCGATGTCCCTTTCTCATCCATGATCAGATTCAGTCTGACTGCAGCAGTGAGGGTCGTGATGGACAGCAGAGACAGCTGAAGGTGGACACAGTGGTCAGCTGCTTCATCAGAATAAAGCTGCAGAACTGTCTCAGCTGTGTTGAGATGCAGTAGATGTGGGCTCACCGTCTGTAAATACATGATTGTTAGAACAATGTTTGAATAAAGCTTTGTTTCATGTGTCGATTACTTGTATTTATTTATTGTCATGTTTACTTTTATTTATTTTTATTCATTTGTTCATGTTTCCTGTTTTCAGTAAATAAAATATAATTGTTTACTCTCTGCAATACTTTCGTAAGAGTCTCTTGAACAATGCAACACATATAGAGAATGTACAGTAATACAACACCAGTACTGCAGGAATTTACTCTCAATGCACAATGTTTCTATGCAATTAATTCAGCTCATGGAGAAGAATGCCTTTCTGTGTCACAGAATCACCTTCTGCGGTATATGCTGTCAGAAATATGTGAACGCCAACATGGATGAGAAATCGGTCACTACAGTTCGTCATGCCATGAAGGTGCTTGCAAACGGCTCAGAAACCATGATCTTCGTATTCTTGGGTGTTACAGCCATTGATACAGAGATCTGGGTTTGGAACACAGGTTTCATCCTCCTCACCCTCCTCTTCGTCTTTATATACAGGATCATAGGTGAGTGCAGTTGTGGCCTATTAAAACTTTTTGTAAAAAATATGTATTAAATTGATAATCCACTCTAGTAAATATCATTTTTGTCCACAACATTCGATTATATATACTTTTTTATAATTACAAAAGTCTGTTTATATGTATTTTTCAAGTCTAAATATATTGTAACTTCAAGTCACAATAAAAAATACTCAAATAAAAAATAAATTACACAGATGAAACAGACACAAACTAGATCATCGTGGCTGTAATCAGTCACTATCTCATTTGTAATGCAAAAGTCGCACAGTGGTAAAAAAAACATTCAAACATGCAATATAACAGCAAATTCCCATAGCACACTTCACTATAAACACTTACCCAAACCTGTTTTGCACACCTTTTCTGAATGGTAAAGTTTTGCAGTACAAACCTTTTTAGTCTGTAATGACACTGCTGCATGCTAGGTAATGGGCCTTGCTAATATATTCATTCTCAATCAACTAAATCATAAACTTATAATAAAATATTCATAATAATTTGAGTTTACAGAGAAGCCAAAATCAAAAGTTTAAGAGATCTATGCTCATTCATTGTAACATTCATTGGTCGTGCTTGACAGTCAAGATCCACTCATTACAAAAAAGAAAGAAAGAGCAGTGTTATTTTATTTTTTGTTTTTTAATAGAAAAATCATATTGTTCACAAATATTATTTGAAATAATTATGCTTGAGATGTAAAAAAGAATAAAACATTTAAAATCTCCCTCACATTACAAAGATTTCTCTTTCAAAGAATGCCTCTTGGATGTGTTTTTATGATATGTTTAGGAATGTTTGTTTTATATTTGCAGGTGTTTTCTTGCTCACCTGGATGTTGAACAAGTTCAGATTGGTTCCCATCGAGGTCATTGACCAGGTTGTAATGAGCTACGGTGGTCTGCGGGGGGCAGTGGCGTATGGACTAGCAGCCATGTTAGACGAAGACAAGATCCCAGAGAAGAATCTGATGATTAGTACCACACTCATTGTGGTGTATTTCACTGTCATTCTTCAGGTTAAAACCCTATCACTCTTATCACAATTATGAGACTCTAAATGCTTGGATTATTTTGTACGTCCTACCTAACCTGTAGTGGTTATGTCTATGTGGTTTCTTTTTAGGGACTAACAATGAAGCCATTAGTTCAGTGGCTCAAGGTCAAAAGAGCAGCTCATTCAGACTTGAAACTTATTGAGAAACTAAACAATAGGGTAACTATTTGACAGTATCTATTTATGTGTTCATTTTAATAGTTATAGAAAAAGTTATATATATGGTGTCTTCATAGGCATTTGACCACATACTAGCAGCAGTGGAGGACATTTGTGGACGTATAGGAGATAACTGGTGGACCAGAGGGTGTGTTTTCCTCAGTTCTGTGGATATACTTAAATATTAATAAAAATATATAAATAAATATATGGACACACATCTCTTCTTTGATCTCTCTCCCAGTTGGAACAGGTTTGAGGAAAATTATATCAGCTGGTTATTGATGAAACCTAAGGCCAGAAGGAACAGAGACTACCTATTTAGTATCTTCCACAAACTCAATCTGGAGGATGCTGTTAACTACGTCAGTGAGGTAAGAGCATAGATTGGCGTTATACATTGCATAATATTGTCATTTGTTTGGTTATCTCAAACTGCATGTGTTTCCTGTAACAACAAAGTTTGCAATAGTTCTGTCATGACAACTCTCAGAGGGATTGGCATGGTAATGTACATGACAATGTTAGTTAATGTATTTGGTCTTGGCGGGATAGATCTGCTTTGCTGCTCCTGCGGCAGAGCAAGTACTGAGACTTGCTACTGCCAATGCATCCACAACATGCTGCTGTGAGCATGTAAGAAATACTGCTGCTGCACATATAACATATATGATAACCTCCATAACATAGCCTACATGATCACCCCATAGCAGATCTATACAGGTGGAGCTGGGGAAGGTGGGGGGTTTTCTGAAGTGTGCTGTAACTGTTACCACAAGCATTAGCCAAGCATTTGAATGCTGAGCAGTGAGCTCATTGGCTAAAGATACAGGAGAGAACCAATCAGCTGTGACATGTGATAATGATGTCATTATGTCATATTGAGTTAGATCTATCGGACTGCGCCATCTAGAGTTTCATGCCAGAACTTTGTATTTTCACATACAATCATAGTGAATATAGTGATTGCAATGCAATCCATGTGCTGCTTGTGTACTATCAACAAAAAAAGCTCATGAGAAATGTATGTAACCTCTTTCTTTCTTCATGTAGGGTGAACGTCAAGGATCTCTGGGCTTCATTCGTAGTGATGAAGCAGCCAATGTAGATTTCAAAAAACAATTTGGTTCAGAATTTACAGATGTGATGCCTGATATAATGGTTGATATGTCAAATTACGAGCTTGAAATCGAAAATCTTTCAGTAACCTCCATTGTGTAAGTGAACTGACTGTTTAAATCACATTTAAACACAATTGCGTAATTAATGCATCAGTTGTAATCAATCGTAAAACAGTTATGAGTAATGAAAGAGAGGGATAATTACTGTCTTAACAGAGATTTATATACAAGACTAAGAATCTTTTCCGGAGTTACAAAGCCAAAAGTGCTCAAATTTGACAAATAAATTCCTAAATGGTGAGATGTGGCAATAATGAAAATTGCTTTGTCTCTTGTAAATTAGAAAAGACACTATTCCCTCTGTATCCCTGGACATCCATGGGCAAGACAGGAAAAATGCGGTGGACGACATCAATGCCCATCATCTTCTACAGCAGCACCTGTACAGGAGCAGAAAGAATGTATGAATCGCTCTCACAGACACGTACACAGTTTGCATCTCATTTGACCCATAATTTTCTCTCTTTCCGAGCAGCATCGTCACAAATACAGTCGCAGTCACTTCAGCATTAACCAGAGTGAGGACGAGGTGCAGGAGATCTTCCAGAGGACCATGAGGAGCCGCCTTGAGTCCTTCAAATCAGCTAAGATGGGTGTCAACCCTGCCAAAAAAATTACAAAGCACCACAAGAAGGAGCTTACACACAAGGTAAGAGACTTTCATGATGCCTCTTTCACCTGGATTGCTCAATTATAGTATTGCATCTCTCAATTTATACATATTTTCAGATGGCTAATGGACACCCAGACGGTACAGGCCATCTATATGGAGATGAAGGTAACAATATTTTATATTAGCCTTTTATTAGTATTTATGACACAGAGCAGCTAGCTAAATGTAATTAATTTGAAATAAATATTAATAAAATAAATAAATAAATACATATTATACTAAATGTAATAATAGTGTAATAAATAAATAGACTTGTATAAGAAAATATATAAATAATAGATAGATAGATAGATATTAATAAATAAATGTATATTTTAAAATAACGATACTATATATTACATTTTAAAATAAAATAAAAAATATTACATTTTTTAAATAAAAATGGGAAAAAATTAATATATATATATATATATGTATATATATATATATATATATATATAT